TTGTGTGGGGGATTTATGGCTCTACGCCTAATCTGAAAACCTCCAAAATGAATGAAAATAGATTGACAGCTAACTTAACCGATATAATTAAGTCGTGATGCTCAGGGACCTAATGACTGCATTGGAGCCGCGAGCATCCAATTATAAGGTCCTGGATTCGAATCCTATATTCAAAACTCATGATTACATTTCGAACCAAGATTAGTAAAACCTCATTTGCCATTAGCAAAATATGATAAGTATCATATTTTGCTAATATGATAAGTATCATATTTTGCTACTGGCAAATGCGGTTCCAATGGTGTAAATGGTTACCCCGAGCTATCATACTCTGATGGTGCATTGTTTTTGAGTTGTGCGCCTTTTGGCGTCATCTGGTCCAACACCATGTGAGACTAGGCTCTAAGGAAAGCTGTCTCGGGTGTGGACCAATCAATTTCAAGGACAATGCATATATTATCAGAGTTGTGTTTTTTGTTTGCATTCCGACTGCAGGTATTTTGGTCAATGCAAACATGCCTCCTTGTAAAAAAGGTGTCAGTTTTGTTGCCAGATAAAAGGTTAAAAAACTATTATCAAGATTAGTGAAATTTTGCTTTTAACTTGGTCATCAATGGCTCTATAGAAATTAATTTGACAAATCTACAATTGTTCTGAGCTCATCACCATTATTGGGTTCATGAAATGAGTACTGCTTAGTGGGAAATCATCAATGGTCTTCATGTGGAGAGTGGTTACCGCAATAGGCAATTTGGAAATTCCACAGATGCTCAGTTGCCACCAACACAGATAATTATCATGGCCTCACACTCACGCGGACGGGGAGGCAATTTGAGTTACTTGACTTTGTTGATGTACATTTTTAAAAACTTGGATTTAAAAAGCCACCGTGGCATAGCGATCTTACCAATGTTCAGTGTTAGGGGATGCCTTAAATCAACCAAGTAACGGGTGCCTCTGTGTAACGTTCCAGCCAAGTGTTATGATTTTCACTCGGTCAGAGCCATGCAACCGGTTTGAGTTTCAAACTGCCGATCCTCTAACTCGGACAGCAGAAATGTGTCCACGAGCCAGTCATGAGCGCCTATAACACACTCCCGAGCGGGGCGATTGAGCTATCAAGGCCCTCTCTGAAGAACATGCTCAAGATATGACAGCATGGCGCTTCAGGAAGCAATGCTATTCGAGCTTCTTCCCATGTCTGTAATGCAACACCAAAGTGGTTAGCGCACCACCCAAGGTTACCGAACCCAAGGTCTCCCAGGCCGGACTCATGAGGGCATGTCTCTCTTCTCGCCTGGTAAAAAGGGGGCTTGTGATGGACGCGCAGCAAAGATAGCCATCACTTATGGCCAAAAGGGTTTTCATTACAATGACATTACCATTTCTCTATGGCACTGCTGTGCGGTATTTGTGTTTTTTTTATTCAGAGATAGAACCCAAAGTGCAGAAAGGGAGAAGGTGAATTTGGAGGATTGCGAACCATTACCAAATTCGCCATCAATGCGCAAGAGCTGATAAGAAAGCCGCAGTCTTCTCTTTTAAGAGCTCCAGGGCCACACGATACTCCCAAAAGCCCCCTTTTTGCGTGGCAACGAGAGGCGGCGATGATCTTTTTTTGTGCTTGGCGAGCTCCTTTAAGTAGTGGGAAGTGTCCTTGTGTAAAGGCACTTGCCCCCTCCTTGTAGGCAGCCAACAAGAGCCATCCCAACACAAAAAAATTAAGTGAAATATTGTATCCTCTATTGATGCTGACAAACACCTGCCCTGACCCTTGTTCCTGCCAAACCCCGTTGAACAGCTGCTCCATTAAGACTTCTCTCTCAACACCTAATCAGTGAGTTAACTTCACCTCCGGCTACACGGACAGGGTGGGTGTCACGCTCCACTAACAAACTGTGCACTTCATGTTGCTCAATATGCTTTCATAGTTGTGTAACTGCAACATTTGTTTCCGTTTAACTTGTGCATCCGTAACAAACGATCGCACACACCCTACATCGCCTGACTTTTACAGTGAAATTCTCCTGATCAACATTGGTGTGTGGGGGCCGGGGTACTCCATTGATGGATACAATTATCCGGTGCCAATCTGCGAAAATAATTCCAGACTTTTGCGTGGTGCATTAAGATGAACAATAGGATTAGCTTTCCACCACTTCCAAGGGCCTCTTATCCATGGGTAACTGTGGATAACAGAATTAATTTGGCACTACTGCTGAGTGGCTCCTCTCACCCACATGTAACCACGACTCTTTTAAATTGTATTTATTACCATTTTTTATTTGACCAGGCAAGGCCCACTGAGCTATATAGCTCTATTTCGAAAGCAACCTCACCACAAATGATAGCTCAACGAAGTGGCTTATCATGTGGAAATGTATAGCACCCAAATACTCTAAATGCGTGTTGATTCTTAATGTGGAGGGAAAATCCGGAAGACCCGAAAAATCCACGCAAACACGGGGAGAGAGACATGCAAACTCCAAATATACAGCAGGCGTCAGGGTCGGGATCGAAACCATGAAGCTCCTGTATACCAGGCGAGGTGGTTAAGACACAACACTCAGCCTACAGGAGTGTCTCCAAATTACATGGAGGTATGGATATAAATAGCGGTGGAAAATATGGCCACAGATAAGAGGAGTTTCACTGTACTACAGTATATTCTGAAGTGAATAACAACCGATACGTTTACAATCAACTGGCTATCAAAAGTACTTTGGCCCTATGAATATAAAGCACTGGAATTCTGCTTAGAAATTTAGAATTTTAATGAGTAGCCCAGGAAGGTCAGGCGATGATTGCCGTACAAAACTTGAGACAACATTGAGAAAAATGATTGCCTCATTTTATAAAATTTCTGGCAAAGGCTATTTGAGATTAGTCGAATATTGCTGCTATAATAAAGGCACAGTGCCATTATTGATGTCTCTTGGAGTAAGGACAAATATCGCAAACAAGATTACAACTGCCACATCTCGCAGCTCTAACATGATTCACAAAAATTGATAACGTGCATGTCACTGTCATTGAACTTATGATTAGATGTAAGTAAAATTCACGAAGACAGATGCTATCTATTACAATTCGCATTAGGACATGCACAAATTCCACTTCAATCAAGGTTAAACTAAATTAGGTTAAACATTTGTACAATCTGTGCTCATAATGCTCCACTGCATAGCTCGTTTGGACGATTTGCACATTATGACTGACTTAGAGGATATTCTGGCCTACTCAAAATTAATTTCGAATTTACAAACAAAACATTTTAATGCCAGTTATTAGAATACATTGCTTTGACATTTGAACAATAAAATAGGTTTCACAAGGTAATTTTATATTGATAGTTTAATGCTGGTCTACTTAGAATCCAGACATGCGCTGGTTACATTTGACTTATTTTTATCGCACAAAGACGGATCCCTGCATCCTCAGACTGCAGTGAGAAGCACCCTTAGCGAGCACCAATTAAGGCTGGCACGGTGTATGAGGGCGTAATGTCACCAGCACCGTGTCCAGCTGCCTTTGTCTCGTCAAAGTTGATGTTTACACACTGCACCAGGTACTCATTTAAGGCTGAGGCGACCCAGGGGAGGTTCAGGACTACTTAAGATATTCGCTACTGATGTAAGCCACAAACGAGAACCAATCTCGGCTTACCGGGTTGGTCGCGCAGAGCCCTAACCACTACACAAACAAAGATCTCCTGTATAGGCTTAACAGGCTGTTGGGGCAAAAGCTGTTAGCGTGCACCTATGAAAGCTGGCACGGCACCACGAGGGGGTGGGTGGCCAGCACCACGCCCGGCCGCCTTTGTCTTCTTAAGTGGCTATGTTTACACACTGCACCAGGTACTCATTTGAGGCCGAGTCGACCTAGGGGTGGTCCAGGACCGGTTCAGATAATCGTCACTGGTGTTGACCGTAAGCGGCAATCGAACTCGGGTCACCGGCTTCGTAGCTACGCAGCACGCTAACCGTTGCATTACCACTCCCCATCCTAACCACGACACTACCACACACATATGCACCAAGTCACGCGATTATTGACTCAAAGACTTGGATGCCTCATGGTGATGCTATGTAGCTCACCACTTGACACATAAAGCTCAAGTGGTGCTTTGCCCTGAAGCCGTCCACCTGGCCTAGGCTCGGAACACCGCACTCACTCGCACCGCACATGAGCACCTGCATGGGACAAGTATGCGTAACTTTGTCTGTGCAAGGCAGCCGCTCTTGTCCATGGTATATGATGTATGCCTGCACACTGCTATTCACAGCACACTACAAATGCTTGTTTGTAAGAAACGGCCGGTGATGCAATCACATCCGAATAAAGTTGAAATATGGATTTTAATCATGGCTGTGGAAACTACAAAAATGTGTTTATAAGATGTCCGCAGGATTGTACTCAACCGGCCACACTTTATGTAAACTTTCCTTTTTTCAAGTAACTTTCCTTGAAATATACTATTGTTTATTTTAACTGCCATTTTTTTTGTTATACCACGAAATGTGTGATGTGAAATGTTCTTACTACATTAATGTTCTTATTATTTTACGCTCAATTTATTTTGTGGGGTGTCCTAGCTATTATATCTGGCTTTCTATTAGATAATGTGAGTTATTTGTGAACTACGCACACTGTGGATGATATGAGTAACACATTGAACCACGATCTTAATTTAAAGGCGCTATAAACAGCATATAAGTGTAGAGATGATTGTGATGATGTGTAAGACAGGCCTGCAAAAAAAAAGCATTACACAATGTGCACGCACACACCTCCATGAAACATGTACTTCTATGTCATAAATTTGCATAAGGCACATGTACTTGTGAAAAATAATAATAATTTACATTTCTAAAATACCTTTCAACCAGAGGTCACAAGGTGTAGCACAAAACGCACACACATGCAGGCTGACACCAATAAAATCTAACTCCAAAACAATCCAAATGTATGTGTGTGTGTGCTAGTTCTACTGAACTTACCTGATCAAAATGTGGGTCTTCTCCTCTCTGTAATGACTTGGACAGAGGCTTTTCCTGCAGGCACAAACAAGATAATGCAAAAAGCCACGTGAATATCGCATCGTGCTCTCGTCTCGTAGAGCACTGAGTCTACGAACACCACACTTCGTGAGAGTTTAGAAACAATAAAATGTACTATGCATGTGCTAATGGCACACGTCTTAATCTGACATTTTGTTATTGAGAATGTTTTTTTTATCAGATGCAGGACACTTTGTTATTGCTAAATCATTTTTTCATTTCAACATAAAAACGAGATGACCGTTCACCGGCGTAATTGGCTCAAATTAAGCCTTACTATGGTATGCCAAATGCATTCACATTAACTTGACACGGCGTCTTGATAATACATTGAACAGTCAGTTGAAACTGCATTAAACCATTTGTAAAGACAGTACGAAGGAATAGAGGGACAGTATGGTTCCCCAGGACCATGGTTACCAAGGGACGTGCTAATGATGATTGATGGGACAAGCGTTGACAGAGTCACGTGAGGGGAAGCACGTGATCCAGGCAAAGTGTAATAGGGGCGGAGATTGACGGAGATTGATAGAGCCAGGTGCGTTGAGCGAGAATTCGAGAATAGGGGCGTGGCCTGGTCGTGCGACCAGCTGTTGGCGTCACCTTGGAACGGGTCGTCTCCATCGTCTGCGAGTTGTCTTGGGGGCCGTCCATAAATGACGTCACGCGATTTTGGACAATTTTTTACCCCCCCTCCCCCTTCGTCACACGGCGTCACAAAAAGTCAGACCCCCCCTCAAAGATGGCGTCACAAAGCTCTGCCCCCCCCCCAAAATAAAACATGCTTCAAATCGCTTTAAACTATTGTCATTGTAGTGCGTATTTAATGTGGTGCTGCACTCTTATGTTGTAGGAGAAAACGTTTATTAAAAAGTCTATTTAATTAAGTAGAACGTGTTGTCTATATTTAAAGTTGCGCATTTTGATGTGACGTCACATTTCTCAAACCCCCCCCCCCTCGTCACACATCGTCACAAATGTCTGACCCCCCCCCCCCCCCAGGTGCGTGACGTCATTTATGTAAGGCCCCTTTAGGCCAGAGCTATGTTGTCTCAGAATAGAGTCGTCTTTATTCATAATAAATATATATAAAGACAACACGGTGTCTCTGAGAGCTACATTACACATTTAGCACAATGGCTCAAGTATATATTCTTCTTCGTGGACCAATCGGATGGTTCATCATCATTATGGAAAATCAAGAGTTATAATTAGATTTTTTTACCATTCTCATTTTACAATGTCATTCGTAACCATAATTTACAACTCTGTGAATTCATCGCTAGACATCCCCACATGCCATGTTGGTCATCGAAGCGGATCGACCATACTTCACCACTCTGGTCAGTGGGGATAAGTTCAGATATCACTCGACACTGATGTTAGCCATGGCCGGGGTGAAACTCAAATCGCCGGGTTCCCAATGCATTGGCACAAGTGAAGGAAGCAACTCCTTTTACGCCGGCTGCCTTTGTTTTTAAACATTGCAGAGCATTAAAATAAATATTAAGATGTTGGCTCGGGGTAGTAAAAGCTAGACGCAACCATATATTAAACTTGATAAAATATGAAATAAATTCAAATGATTGCTTCTCTTTGGCCATGGAGGGAAATGAGGGCACGGGCAATTCAGGAGAGAGAAGACAAGCCCACAATGCACTGCCACCACGATGCGTTGGGGACAAAGATCGAGCCACAATGGGCCGTACCCAGTACAACAGCCCGGCCTGGCTCAGAATGAGTTTCCAATGGCTGGTGAAACGCAGCACAATTCTTCTGCAGAGGTTGAGTGAAATATTTGGCTTATGATACAAGTTCTGTAGGTGGTTGGGCTCAATGTAGTCTTCATTAATGTTAAACAAAAGGACTGAGATGTTCCTTTAAAATCTTCTGTGGACATCTGGAAATCTCTCACTTCTGATATTAGAAAGCCACTGGAGCTATGCACTTTTAAATCTAGATTAAAAGTAATTTCTTTATAAATGCTTTTTGCGTTTAGTTTGTTGTCCTTCCCCCGCACCTCCAACTAACACGATTGGCTACGTACGGTGTGAAAGGTCTACATACATACACTTTATACACAAGGGCCCACATTTCTACAGCAATAGATTTCCATAAAATGCACTTGTATTCAACTACTATGCATGCCAGTTGAAAATCAAATGCTGGTATTTGACTGAGCTCTGATGACGGGGAACATGGCGTGATGGGGGAATGTCGTGTGCGCAATGATGCAGCAAACAAGTTTGCACAAAAATCGCCACAAATCATCGCCTTCGTCAAAGTCCCATTCATGCGATGCTGCGCTCGAAACTACACTTTCTCTCCACTGCACAATCTATCAACGGCGGATGCTGCACCAAACAGGCATCAAGGATTCAAAAGATGCGAGCGAATGCTTCATACCAGCCACGCAACAAGTCCTGACATAGTAATGACAGCGCTACACGCGTAGAGACAGCAGATTAACTGTGGGGACATCTGATCCAGTCTTGTAAGCCCCTAGAGAGAAAAAAATGAAAGGCCGCACCTTTGTGCAACAAGTGTCAGCCAAAATAAACCACTCATGGTAAATAAGCAATTTTCCGAGCCAAAACAGAACCAGCTGCTTAAACATCAAGCTGGCAGCTAAAGCCTACGACGATCCTTAGAATGAAACGAAAGGCTCAGGGACCCAAAGTGTCCTTCTTACCAGAGACAGAGAAAATCCCGGGCACATAGCAGCAGCATTGCAGGATACGTACAAAGCAAAAATGAGGAAGTGAAACAACACGCCTGCCTCTTTGTATTGAAATAAAACTACACTATGTAGATGTGCAAAGAAAGTCTGAGCTTGAAACTTTTTTTTCAACAAAAGTGGCAATGAACTCCATGGAACATACGGTTAGCAATTTGGGAAGCGTCATCACAAAGTCAAAAAAGACAAGGACATCAATGACGATTCTTTTTTTAAATCATGTAAATGCCACTTATGTTTGTTGAACTTCTTTCGCACCATACGTAGCTAACCATGATAATCGACTTTGCAAATGTGTTCAAATAAATCATTTGCCAGTTAAGGTGAATCTAAATCACTCGTATTCCTGACATGTCATTGAAATTCTACATTACTAAGGAAATAAATGGTCCATCCACAGGACAAATACTGCTCACTTCCCACAAAGCGGTATTCATTTAATCAACGTCATAAATGTGATGGATCAAAGTGACTCACTGACTGGGGTTTGAACGTGCAACCTTCCCACTGTGCATCAAGCACTCTGCTCCAGCACCTCGCAATCAGATGAATACATGTAGTGCAAAAAGGTAAAGGTGCAGCCCTGAAATAGCTTCATCACGCCACTTTTTGCAGGAGAGCTTCCATGAGAGGGAGTTCCAGAGAGCTCCTATTCACACTTCCAGGGTGAATACTTCCAGGGTGTGGGTCCCGTTCGCCGCTGAATCTCGGAACGCGCAAGCAGTTCAACGTTAATTTATTTAGAGAGGCATAGCGCCGATGTTGTAAGACTGTATGCACCGCACAGAACTGTAGCGACACGACCGCACCCTACGATAGCTGCCACATGGACTCCCACACGGTCTTTTACTTCCGATTCCGTCCCAAAGAGGTAAACGCACGTAAGCGGAATGGAATCGGAAGAAAAACTGATGATGTACGTGTACATCATCATGCCTACTTCTTCCGCACTGGCCAGACGTCTTTGAAGGGGTACCAGTTACCCACACCCAAGGCCCGCCAATCGACTGCGTTGTACCCATTTATATTGCTAGATGGACATAAGCGGGGGGGGGGGGGGGGGAGTTAAAGAGGGTTCAATGTGTGAACCGTTGCACCATGGCAGCAGCCCCGCATCTCCGATTAGCACGCTCGGCTATGTACGGTGCGAAGGAAGTTCTGCATACAATAACGTACGTTGTGGTGTACCCAGAAATAATAATTCCTCCCAGTACACGGTGCTCGCATTCCTAAGCAAGAGCGCACACACAACCTCCACTTTCCCACCAAGTCGTCGGGAGCCCGCCCCGTAGGCCAACAAAACAAGCATTTCCTAGTAACTGGATATAGCTCCCACTGCTCTCACCCCCATGGGTTCACTGTGTCTCGGGTCGCAGCTCCCGGGGCTAAAAACGGAAGCGTTGCATCATGCCGCAAAAACGACCCCAGGCGTGCTAAGCAGCAGCAGCAACAAATCCCTGGTTGAGTCGGTGCATGCATGGAATCATGATGCGTGCACGGAAAGATTTTGTGTATTTGCATGGACGTAGATGTAGATCCCTTTTTAAAGTCCACTACTGGATCAAGGCCTCTGTGTGCCGTATGAGTCACGGAGTGCGGTTTGGTGAAGGCGGACAGTATAGACGTGGCAGCACATCAGAAATAGAATATTTATTTATACTGGAGGAATCCGATGAGATATAAAACGCTTGTTCACAGATGTCCAGTAGTTTTTTTTACAGATGTCTAGTCCAGGTGATTTGGTCAGATATAAATTCTATCTATATATATAAAATCGTTCATGTCTGTCTGTGTGTGTGTGTGTGTGTATTTCGGCCCATACGCACTTTCATTGGACGGCGGTTGCCCCTGGCAACGGCTAGCCACGCCTTCGCCGCTTTCATAAGCTCCGTATTTAATTAAATAATAGCCATTACACAGTATTGTTGGAGCGCTGAGGGGGGGGGAAGGAACGCCACCCGTACCCTGCCTCTTCCAAGCCGACAATTTTAGGCGAGGCCGCAGGCTTTGCACGCTACTAGGCCTCGACACCCACCACGCCACTCTGAGGTAAATTCATCAAAGTTTTTCCTACTCTTCACTACACCCCCACCACAATGTGTGCTATTAATATTACTTTTAAACCCAACGCGCCAACAATCGATTACTTTAATGTTCACTGTACAAATACTCATTAAGCTGGGTGAGCGTACTGCCAGTCTATCATGTACACTGTAGCCTGCTTATTAAGCTCGGTGAGCGTACTGCCACTCTATCA